GTAATATAGATATTTAATGACTTTCAAGAAAGAGCATGAGTTTTCTTTTTATTTTAAATATCAATCATTAAAATGTATTGCTTTTAATGTGTAATGTCTGTAAATGTCAATGGAATCATCTGAAGAGCTAGAAGAATCATCTGAAGAACCAGAGGGCAAAAATGTGGCCTGTAAATGTTTATGAAAACTTGAGGTTTAAAAAAATATTTAAATGATTGAATTTCAAAACTTCAAGGGCGATAAATTGGAAACACTCAACAGTGGCACCAGAGTTGCGTGAAGGAGGTGTTGCTTGAGGTTTGATTTATTTGACTGTTTGGTTTAACAAGTTAAGTTAGGTAAGTTTCTGTTTCTTCTGCTCTTTGAATTACTGTAGAAAGACCATAACTCAGCTTTTAGTTCTCATGCATACCTTTCATAGGCTCTAATGGGGCATCTACATTTGTGTTTTGAAGTTAATGCCCTATCCTGTGGTATATGCTCTAGGTAACCCTGCATGTGCAGGGGGGTTGGACTAGATCATCTCTAAAGTTCCCTTCCAATCTTAAAGATTCTATGATTCTGTGATTTTTGCTTAGCTTCTGGGGTATGATTTGCATTATGGAGAGCATGATCTCACAGAGATGTGACGTTTCCCTTAAGTTGAAATGAAAATAAGACTTGCTGTAGAAATGCACTTAATGCATTCCAACCAGAAATAGATTTTCAACACGGGGAACAAGGCTAGCTAACATGGAAATAAAAACTGAAAAGTACACAGTGTACAATGTAAGAACTTCAGAGCGGGCTGTTATGTTTTAGAGATGATTTTTTTTTTTTTCCATTCTGCATGTGTCAGTTATATTAATACAGCCTTCCTCTTACAGCAAGGATACCATTGCATGAGCTTCTGTATATATTTACTTTTTCATAAGGTATTCAGTCAGTATGTAGGATGGCAAGAAGAACATGAGCTGTGGTCTGGACCATGGAGATTAAAGTGGGGAAATCGTCTGTCATTGTCACACTGTGATTGATATGTCTACATGAGGCAGAACTAGGACAAATGCATCAATGTGCAGAATTACAGACAGAGAATATCTAGAGAATGTAGAGTTTTTTTCCTTGTCTTTCACTTACCTGAGGCCACTTTCAATACTTAAATTGTCTTTGTCTTAAATTGTCCTTTTATTTTCTTCCTTAAGTATATGTATAAGAGGAGGAAAGATTCATAACCTGTTTATGATCTGTAGAGGGCTTGAGACTATTGTGAAGCTGAAAACTAAGCCATTATCTGGTTGTAGGGAGTTTGAAGGTGGCTCTACAGCTGCGAAAACAGGGGCCTTATCTGGTGGTGAGGAGCAACTGAGAAATTTGGAGGCAGCTGTGCCAGAAGGCACACCACCAACCCAAACACAGCTAACGTCTAAGCTAGTTTGGAGGTCAAACCTGAGGCGAGGGAGAGGAAGATGATGAAGGCAGGACCCTCATAATGAGACCAGAGACCCCCACTGGTGGGTGCGCATGCTCATGCCAGGGAAAGTTGCCTAGCGAAAAGGATGGAGCTTTGTCTGCCCTCTGGTTGCCTCCTGACATGTATGGGCCATATGTGATTGGATGCACCAGATATAAAAAATATTCATGGATTGGAGGCGGAGAGAGACTTCCAACCAAGACCTATGTTGTCTCCGCGGGGATGCCTGAAAGCTTGGAGCCTGTCAGCCACCTCTTGTCCATGGGGAGGAATGATTGGCCTCACTATCTTGCTCACTGGTATCCTTTCGTAAGTAATTGCTATGTAGGCACCTTGTTTTGCAGGTAGTTGCTAAGCAGTCGTCTTGCTTTAGTGTGTTGTTAGTGTGAATTGTCCTAAATAAACCAAGGGAGTGATTTTGCTCTCAGTGCATGTGCTTTCAATTGCCGAACCCTGAACCCATCCGGAACAGTATACAAAGAAAGAACTGGAGGAGGCTCTATTAACAGATCTACTATTTAATATAGTATGCTCCAGTCTGAAAAGTATTGCTTTTCTAAAAGCATGAAGGTGTGAAAGCAGGAAGTTTATCAAGAGTCAGATAAGAGAAGGAACACCAGCGTATTCAGAACACTTACATCTTTTTCCTCTCTTCTTATTCGTTCCACATTGCTGCCTTCTAGGACTCATATAAAGTTGCAAAATCAAGTTTGAAGAGAGACTTTCAGCTGACACTAACCTAAATCATTCCCCATTCTAAGGACAGATTCCTGGTATAAGTAAATCCTCATTCTGAGGTTGCCTAGTCAGTTCCAAATAGCACACCAATAGCTAAATTCCCTGTCAGATTTACTTGCTTCATTCTCAGACACCTCATTCCCCTCTTCTACAAGTTGTTAGTTTATGAAGGCCTCTGGCAAAAAAGCAGCCTGTGTAGTCTCTGTACCTTTGATTAAGGTGAATTCATAGCGACAGATTGTTACTTTCTACTATTAAATCTTAATGCTACAGATTTTTTTTTTATTTAAAATAATTTTATTTTCCTACTCTTCTAGAAATTTATGAAAACGAAAAAGCCAAGAAGAAAACATAGCCTAAAAACATGCATATACTAACAACAAAATAAAATGTGATATATAAAAAGCAAACACTGGAGAAATATAAGCTGTACCTGAAATTCTACAAGAGATCAATCCAAACTTATGTCAGTCCAGAGTAATGAAAGTTATGTAGAAGTTTACTATATTTTTACATGTGTACTGTATTGTTTTCTCAGATTTGTTTTATTGTGCATATGCATATAATATATAATGCATGGAGGCAAAAAAAAAAAAAAGAAAAGAAAAGAAAAAAATCTGTCATTGTCTTTGTAGTTTTCATTTTTCAAATATCCATCTCTGCTTCCACTAGAGTTCCCTGTTAACTGTTCCACTTTGCTACTATAATCTAATGCAAGGGAAGCAGGTTAAAGCACGAAAAAGCATTCTGAATTCATTGACTACTGCTTTGTTTCCAGTGAAGAATGAAGAGGAAATCGAAAAGATAAGAGGAAAAACAGAAAAGACAAGATTTGGAACAAAGTTTTTCTTCATTGAGAATTACAATTATCGTTCTGAAGACTTAGTTACATACATATCTTTTATCATACCCTATTATATGGACAAATTTTTGATGTTCTTCACATATCTTCTTGAGTAACTAGAGTCATATCATTATTACAGACTTAAAAATAAAATGAAAGGTGTGTATATTTTGGTACTAGAAAGTAACTTGACAAAGTATGTATGTAATCTTGGATATATACTTATCTCAAATTTTTCTTAAAATTTTTGTTGTCCAGGTAGTTTTCACATCACCAGCAGACCATTAAACTTCTTTCCCCAGGAAAAAAAAAAATGTTAGTATTGAAGTTCCCTTTTTTTCTTTCCTCTCCCTTCTCCCTTTACAAGAAAACCTTGAGGTGAATTTATGATCAAAGCTGAGAATTCAGCTGAGACATTTGGATCATCTCATTTTGTTAACTAAATTGCTTCTCTACTTCGTTTCCTGTTACAGCCAAAAATCCAGTAAAAACATCTTAGAAGCTGAAATTCTTGTCTAACTGACTTGTCCCAAGAAACATGAATGAATCATATCCTGCTGATGTTTAAATACCATTACAAATAATATTTTTTTAATTTTTTTCACACATTAGATTTTCTTGAATAGGAGCCAAGATATAGATGTAGTTTAATGACTCAGGCTACTGGAACTCTTAAAAAAAAAGAGAAAGCAGTAGTTACATGAACCTGTAGCTGTAGAGTGAGGGGAGACAGGAATAATGCTTAAATGCTTATTCTAAAATTTATAAATGCCTCACAAACAAAGCCTATCTTGAGTCTAGCAGATGACTCTCAGCTCTGAAAACTATTCTATTTTTCCATGAGGAAGGATGGTTTTGGGAACTTTTGCAGGTGAGATTTTGTACAAAAAAATCCCACTATCAGTTCTGCCTTTACAAGCTATTTCTTAGGTTTTAACAGCAACTGCTATACCTCATGAGCAAACAGGGTTTTGCCACTTTTTCACAAAGTGTTGGCAAATGGAGGGGACTCCATTTTAATGGAAAATCACTGAAGGAAATCACTAGCATGAACTGAGAAAAATTAGTGATGCTACAGAAATTATTTTTTACATAACAAACTAATTTGTGGAAAAATCTCACCTTTAGTCTCTTTGCAAGATAGTGTAACCAAAGAAGTGACCCATAATTAAAGATCAGCAACCCATTATAAACTTGTGATATTTTGTTGTGGTACGATTTAAAACTAGACTTTTTGGAGACATACCAAAATACCAAACACATCTGTTTGGATTATGATTTTCTTAAGAATAAACACATTAATTGTACTAATTTTCAGTCGGGATTTTAATTTTTTTCAGCTAAGGGAAAATCATGCAGCATTTAAAATTAAGGTAATTACAAATAAATGATAATCATTAAAAAAAAAAGAAAGAAGAGACAGTGGAAGGTTAATTTGAGTACAAATGGATACACTGCAGGAAATATAGTGAAAAAAAAATCCTCTGTTTATATTACCAGACCCAGTTAAATCAAGAACTATGATGTCATTTATCAGCTAGAAGTTTGAGTATTTCAGCTAGAAACCTTCAGGGTGGTAGTATTGATAGTATCTTTTTTTTTATTTTTTTGATCTTTAGTTTGAAAGAAAGCAAGAGTAAGGGTGAATTTCATGGTACTCTTAAGACACTCTTAAGAGTGTCCACTAGATTTAGCTGCAGTCACATTAGCTTAGATAATGGGAGAATTTTTCTTCATTGAAAATGCTCCCTGTCGCTTAAGAAGGATTCACTAAGGCAGCCTGCCATCTAGCTTTTTCACAGCAAAACAGGCTTGCAGACTGCAGATGAGAGGCTCGGGAGCAGAGACAATTTTAACTTAGCCATCCCTAATTTATCTCAAGATTTTTCAATTCATCTTCACTGCTGTATGCACACTGGAACTCCAGATTGCCAACCCCTGGGAAGAGAATGCAACCAGGGATCTAGAGAGCTGTCACATCCTGAGAAATACTCAAATTGTGCTGATTTTTTTCTGGAGTGCTGAGCAGAGAGAATGAAACTCTCCATCAAGTCATAGCTGTGTGGGCAATAGATCAGAGGATACTGCCAGTTTTCCTGATGGATTATTGTTATCGGGCAGGTTCTTCCTGAAGGTATGTAGTTACTCTCTCCATTCATTACCCACGCTATTTATCAGGTAATGATCTAATGAACTAGTGATACAGATACATTAAGGAAAATGTTAACTAAGTGAGCTGTATTGATTGAATGATGGCACTGTATTGCAGCATGCTTTCAGGTAAAATACTCTGATCTACCTACTGTAGATGTGTTGTAGCTACTGTCAAGTGCTTTGTCAGCAACCCCCTCGGGGCAAATATCAACTCCTAACCTTTAAGCAAACCAAAAAAATCTATTGTATATAGCTATTGGCACAAGTTAATGCTGACTATCCAGAGAATATTGTTGCTTTTTTTCCCCTTGAAACAATGAAAAATGATGGGCAAAATCATACTTATCATAAAACATATTCAGCTATAAGCATTTTTTACTGTTGAATATTTATCTCAGAAAAACAGTGTATTTTTCTAAACATGGATCAATGCAGAACTTCCCTTAAAGTATTGTAAATTAATTCTGGAGTTAGATATTTTCTTCTTTTGCTGTGATGTTCTACCCTTCACATGGGGATTAGGGTATTTAACTCTGAAAATCTCCAATGTGAAACATGTGATAGAAGCCTGTTGTTGCATCTATATTGCCAGACTCCAGAGGCTTCTTGATAAAGCACAAGGATTACATGCCACAGACAATGGTTTCAAAAAAAAAAATCTCTAAAGAAGAATTTCTTGCCATTTAAACTTTTGTGTTTAAATGAGTTACAGCAACCTCCCCCTAATCTGAAAGGTTTACTGCATAGCTGTCAGTGTAGCTTGTAGGCAGACTGACCTAAAAATGCAAGATCTCTCCAAATTGCAGAAGAAGACAGAAATTTTTAAACTGTTCCAAGCGCGGGAGTTGCTGCATAGAAGAAACATGAAGGAAAAATGTCATGTTAAAGCTAAAGTCATGGCCTTGTTTTATTCTTGATCTAGCACTCTACCTGCACTTTGGCTCCGTGATTTGAATGCTAAACTAGAGTTATAGGCAATATATATTTTTTTTTTTCTGAGCTTAACTTCTTTAGAATTTGTCCAGTGCTCTTACTGTACTTCTGTCCTGCTACTAGAAGTAAATGATGTATGAACTTGTGCTTGGAGTACTTGGCAGTTCGATGGATACACTGAATTGGACATTTGGGGAACAAGTAACAGACAGTAGTCATGTTTTTTTCATGTCCTCTTGAAAGAAAGCAACATAGTAGTAATGGATAAACAAAACAGGAAATTAAGTCCCTCAGAGGGTTAAAGTTAGTAACTCTGAGTTAAGAGCATTTGTAGTATCCTTTAGTATCCTTTATATAAGAAATATTTTTCTAATATTCAAGGCTTTATTACTAAGTTAAGGCAGTATATGCTGCTCCTGTATGTACACCTGATTTTATTTTCTAGAGTCTTGGAAAGACTGAAAGAAAAAAAAGATTGATTTTTTTTAATCCTATTTCCAGTGAACTCTGTTAAAGTATTTCCTTTCCTATAGACATCAGAAAAACTGAGGAAAAGAGGCTTTCATTAAATTCTCCCTGAAGGCTCCTTCCATCAGTGAGCTATTTTTTAACAGGAATTTGCATGCTGACTGTTTTTCCCCAATATCTCAAGCTTCTTGTTTGAATACACAGAACTCTCTTAAAATGCCTCTGGGTATTTCAGAATTTTATGCAATCACTTATGAATATCACAGCCTCAAAAGATTATATGGGTATTTCTTATTCTTATGAAAACCCAACTTTTTCCAGAACAAATTCTATTGTTTCTTTAGGATCCAGTAGCATGTTTGCTCTTAAATTCTGGACTACTTAAACCACCGAGTAATCAAATATAATTACTCCTAAAATACGGCTTTGGGGAGCCACCATCTGTGTCTTTGATTCTCTTCTCTTCAAAGTAAGATGAGAAAATATAAAATAAAGAAAATAAATAAAAAATTCTAATGGAAGAGTAGAAGAAATATATGAAGATCAAAAAAATAGGAAATATATGAAGATTAGTATCCTTGTCTTCTCTCTTTACCTCCACAGTGCTATTCTCTATCTACCATGCTGTTCATTCATAGCTATGTCCCATTTTCTTCTTAGAGTTAAACGATATGCTCTATGTTATACTATTTGCATTTGGAACTTTCTGCTGCCTTCTTAAAACTAGGCTGCTTATGTAAATAAACATATTACAGAATGGTGTCATAAAGGTGTTACATTTTCTTAAAAGTGTAGTCTTTACTGATCTTGGTTCCATTAGAATTATTGTTGCACTAGTGTTATTCTAGTTATTCTTATTTCATATGACAGTTATTTCCTTATGAACCTTTTAGTTCACACAGGAGCTCCCTACAGCACGGCATACTGGCCTGTGTTACCTTAACCACCACTTTGGCTTATCTCCTGTGCTCTGCTTTCCTTGAGTGAAAATAAATTTAAATAAATAAATAAATAAATAAAACACATAAAGAAAATGTAAGTGTTGACTGTATTCCTTCCTTGAGAGCTTCTTAGGTTTTATTCCTGTCTATTTTGCTGCCTGCTATGCAAGTAAAAAGAATCAAAAGATTAGTGTTGATTTTTTTTTTTTTTTTTTTTTTGTGCAATCTTCTTGTTTTTCCTATGTGCTTATTTAAACACCATTTTAGGTTAGGGTTTATTATTTTTCCCGAATGAGCCTCTAGAATATACTGAGTAGAATTTGGTATGCAAGTACTTATATATACAAATAAGGTATATTAATTGTGCAGAGTTATAAAGGGTTTGTGATAACCGTCCTAACTTCTCATAGTGGATATGAGAAGAGATATTTTGTGGATTTCCCAGGAAATCATGACCTTTTTACATCATCTCTGATACGCTAATTCTAACAGGTAACTGCTGTAAGAAGTGTTTAGAGAAGGAAGGATATGAGGGACAGGAAAACAACAGAATTTGTGAAACAAGAATAAATTATCAGGCAAACACTGGGTATTCCTAACAGTCACAATATGCTATAGTCTTTTTTGTTTCTTTCTTTTACCTCTCGTTTTAGGTGTCACTACTGCCTTCTCATTATTTACAACGTTTCTTAAGTGCTATCCTTTTGTTTCAAGTGCCATGCTTACACAGACCATTAGCTAGACAACATAAGCAGTTATTACATAATAATTCTACTGAGAAGATGAGTAGGACTAATGACATATGGCAAATCTGGTTTCCCTTGAGGATCATATCTAACTGTGGCAAAAAAAAAACAGCAAGAGGGATATGAGAGACCCACAAAACTAGCTCAAGTTTGCAACACTCTTTTATTTTGTTTGACACTCTTCATTATGCTCACGAACTGTGATTCAGTTGATTAAACAAAGCTGTCTAGTGTTATTTTCAGCACTGTGTGGCCAACAAGTCAAAAAAAAAAAAAAAAAAAAGCAAGTCTTCTGCCCTATCTTGCAGCCCCCATTCCTTAGCCTCCCAGGGCATCTGATGTATCGGTAGACAAACATTAAAGCAAGTGAGTATGCATTTATTCACCTTTGTATGAAAAAAAAAAGTACATGTTAGAAGTCATTTTTCATGACTTCCCCTGTCCCTATCTCATTAGAAAATTCAGATCAAATAATATCTCACTTTTTGTTCCTTGATGTTATATTCTGCTAACCTGATAGATAAAGTCCACTATTCCAAAGCTTCTGGCATTCCTGTTTAGACTGATAATTTTCAAACATACATGAATAAGAATGCTGGATTAAAGGACAGTACTGTGAATTTATATGGACTTGCAAGAGTATTTTCAATTGCTTAACTACTGAGGTATGTAGCTCTCAATAATATTAACAAGTCTCATGATTAAATTAATACTGGAGTCAGAGTATTATCTTTCAACTCTTTAGATTATGTACATTTTAAAAGTAGATCTGAATCCCCATGTTCTATGGCTGAGATTGGTTTGATGAATTTGAAACAAAGTATTTTGTTTTGCAAAGCTTCTCAAGGTGTGTTCCTTTCTTCTCTCTAAATTATATGAATCATATTTGAAAACCTGGAATAACTAACTGTACTCTTGATCTGAAAAGTCCTAATTTTAGATAAAGGAAAAAAAAACACTTTTTTTTTTCAAAACTTTAATGTATATGACTTTTGTTGTAGCTTTTAATGTTCATTCTCCTCTCTGAAAAAAATAAATATGGCACAAAAATTAAGAACAATATATCTTTAATATTTCCTATACTTCTTTTAATTTCTGAAGGTTATTCTGGGACATGCAAGATCAGTCTTTTCCTGCCAATAAATACCTAGAGTTGCCTCAGTATTTTATTTAAGTACAATTAAAAATCTTCTTTAAATTGGGAGCATCAATATTGCTTTTCTATCTTACTGCAGTCATCAAAATTGCCATCTCATATATAGAGATAAATAACTTTCCTGAAGAAATTATACTGCCATATCTTCTTCTGAAGGACCATTATTATCCAGTTTGCCTCTTTTATACTGTTGACAGTCACTATATTGAAGTCAATAGAATAAATTTCAGTAGAACCCAACTCAGTATGCTTATGTATATCTGTCTGCTACTACACATTGATCAGGGTGAGCTTTTCTTAAACTGTGGCTATTTTTAAGGATTTGAAACGTAGTTTTCTTCTTTGGATATAAAACTTTTTTGGTTTTGCTCTAACAGCTTCAGCTAAAGGCTAGAAATTCTTTACAACTGTCTGTAACTTCTCAAATTTTGAAAAGCTGCTTCATTAGATTTTAAAATAGATACACAAGGAGTTTTAAAAATACCTTGGCTCCTTTTTATTTTAGTTATTTTTGTTATTTTAAGGGTATGTAATGCTTGCATTTTATGTGGATATTACTTAGGACATACTTCTAAGCCTTATAGTCATTAAACACCCTTTAGAAAAAAAAATTGGTGTCCTAGTTTGACTGATTATTAAGCACCAATTAACATTATCAACTTAAAGAAAACTTGACAAACATGTGTGTTTTCACCTGAACAATATATATATACATATATATATATATATATATTTG